ATTTAACTACGTGCCGTAAACCTCCTTTAAAGATAAAGACTGATCTCATCTGGGTTTGTCCTCTTATAAAATTGACCCATCTCGAGCCAATCTCGCCAATCTCGCCACTCCGAGGTGGAATAGTGCTTAGCTGTGTCTCTGCACATCATTACCCCGCTCTTCACTCCATTCACTCTAACTCTGAGCAGAGAAAATGACTGAGTGATATAACCAAGGCTCCAGTGTCTGCAGCTTTATCACTGCACTTTGCTCTGAGCACTTGCTGTAAGGCCTCTTCACCAGGAGCGATTGGAGAGGTTTTGGTGTGTTTGCTGATGTTGCACATTAGCTCACCTTCTCGTGACCTCAACCATTACCTGTAGGGCATCTGAATAAATGATGTGCCAGCCTGGCAAAATGAAAGAAAAAAAAATGCTCTGCTAAATAACAATTTGAGCAGTGTAATCATCGAAAATAAGTGCTGTGTTRATTTAGTTCTGTACAACTTGGGAACACAAACTTTGCTGTGAAGAATAACCAACTGGTACTGAGCTGTATCTCTGATTTACCTGTTATTAATATTTGTTTGAACCTATTTTTCAATGTTTGATCAGGACAGAGCTATTCGTTTTACAAACGTTTTCCTGTGTAACGGAGGACAATGAGCCTCATCTCTGAAAGTTAAGCATGAAATGGTTTCCTTGACGAAAGCCCCGCTGCACTGTACACTAGTAAAATCAGGGGACAACCTAAAAAACTCATTTTCACTTTAGTTCATGTGTTAAAACTAACAGAGGAATTATGCAAAAATCACAAGTGATGCAGTGAAGCAAACATTTGTCATAACTGGTGAGATCATCTCCTCTCCTGTCAAATCTACTTACTTTTGCAACAATTGCACCAACGTTGTACCAAAAAAATACAGCACTTTTAAGTTTTAGTAAATGATTTTTTGCCATGCCTTKTATATTAGTACTGAATATGCACAGTGTGCATGACTCTGAATTACACAGGTTTTTATTGAATGCTTTGCAAAGAAAAAATACAACATCTTAAAAATGAAATATCAGTCATATTATAGATGACAAGTTAAAGGAAATCTGAAGCTTTGATCCCAATAGGCTGTGGGAAGAACTTGACTGGACCCCAGATAAAAGGAACTATCTTCATCTTCTGAAGAATCTTTTGATGTATTTCTATACTGATTAGAGTGGTGCCAATATGGAAACAATACCAGGGTTCAGCGGTCTTAAGAAGCACCTGAATGATTTGGAATTGGACATAGATTTAAGTGCATTTGTGTGCACTTGACCAAAAAATTAATAAATAAATAACATCGATGTTAAAACACAACAAGGAGCCATTTTGACTTTTTCCATACATCTGGCTCCCTTTTTTCTAATTTTATTGTCATTACACTTTGGTTTTGTACGGTGTGTGTGTGTGTGTGTGTGTGTGTGTGTGTGTGTG